AGATTAATGTAGGATAGCATGGATAGCATGGATGGGTTGGGCTGAAGGCTCTGTCTCTGTACTGGGACACCTCTGTGACTCTAAATGGGATTGGGTTAATGTAGGATAGCATGGATGGGTTGGGCTGAAGGGTCTGTCTCTGTCCTGGGACACCTCTGTGACTCTAAATGGGACTGGATTAATATAGGATAGCATGGATGGGTTGGGCTGAAGGGTCTGTCTCTGTCCTGGGACACCTCTGTGACTCTAAATGGGACTGGATTAATGTAGGATAGCATGGATGGGTTGGGCTGAAGGGTCTGTTTCTGTACTGGGACACCTCTGTGACTCTAAATGGGACTGGATTAATGTAGGATAGCATGGATGGGTTGGGCTGAAGGGTCTGTTTCTGTACTGGGACACCTCTGTGACTCTAAATGGGACTGGATTAATGTAGGATAGCATGGATGGGTTGGGCTGAAGGGTCTGTTTCTGTACTGGGACACCTCTGTGACTCTAAATGGGATTGGGTTAATATAGGATAGCATGGATGGGTTGGGCTGAAGGGTCTGTTTCTGTATTATACACCTCTGTGACTCTAAATGGGACTAGATTAATATAGGATAGCATGGATGGGTTGGGCTGAAGGGTCTGTTTCTGTCCTGGAACACCTCTGTGACTCTAAATGGGATTGGGTTAATGTAGGATAGCATGGATGGGTTGGGCTGAAGGGTCTGTCTCTGTCCTGGGACACCTCTGTGACTCTCCGACCATAGTGTGCGACCACAGGGAATGAGAGTAAAGCGAGGTGCAGTATCCCAGCAATTACCTGGCTCACACAACCTGCTGAAGTGGTAAGGATTGCAGCAGACCATGACACTCTCCCCGGGCGTCCGGCCACAACACTCACAAATACACAGCCTCTTGAGTTGGGAAAGGTGTTTCAGGTCGGGCCAGCGGAAGAGTTTGCAGGTCAGCAGCTGGGGCCAGTAACGCTGCTTCCCGATCCGCAGCTCGATCCTGGGAAAGGAGACGCAGTCGGTACAATCATCGGTGCCCCGGGCTTCCAGCGACCGAGCCAGCATTTCCAGCTGCTCATCTCTCAGCCTCTTGAAGAGGGTGTGAGTGACCAGCTTTAGGCAGCTCAGAGCCTCCTGATCTGCATTCTCTCCTCCTGGCTTGGGGCCCGTCACACATGGACAGCGTCTCCGCCACAGTCTCCGCACAATGACCGAGCGTCTCGACTCAAACATACGACGCAGCCGATCTCAAAGATAAAAACCCGCAGCCAAACTAGACAGATAGAGAGCACATTGAGAAACAGCAGGGTGGAAGTTCAGCAACATGAGCTGGGCTGGGGAGAAAATGAGCAGTCCCTCCAGACCTTTCCCTGCACAGTTTTCTTTTCCAAACCTTATATTTTTTCAAACGTTACAAAACTTCGTTTTGACAAATCTCTTAGTAAAGTTATGAGCCGCCTTTAAAAACTTTCTGAAAGTTTGAACCAAGTTTTGTTTTTAAAGGGAGCCGAGAACATTCCTAAAATAGGGTTCGCAGAAAAATTTTGAACTGAGTGTATTTTATTAACTTCCTAAACGCTTTAAAAAAAACTTGTAGTTTTTGAAACTTTCTAAACGGTCAGTTGAAAGAGTTTTGTCAAGTCAGAACTAAGTTTTTGAAGAAAGTTGGTAATGTTCACAAAATATAGTGTGTAAGAACTTTGTAAAGGTTTCAACAAAGTTCTTACTTTGTAAAAGTTTCAACAAAGTTCTTACAAAGTACATTTTATAAACTTTTTAAACTCTTAAAAAAACCTTACTTCAAAGTTCTCACAAATCATATTTTATAAACATCATGAACTTCCTTTAAAAACTATAAGTCCAAACTTTTGACAAAATTCTTTCAACTTGCATTTTAGAAAGTTCCAAAAACTTTTCTCTAAAGTTTCTCCAAACTTTTATTTTCAAACAAATTTGCAAACTTTCTTACAAAGATTTCACAATTTTTTATTTCAAACAACCTTTCAGAAAGTTCCAAAAGCTTTCCCGCAAGGATTTTTCCAAACGCCTATTAAAAAAACTTTCAAACTTTCTTACAGATTTTTAAATGTTTTGCAAGATTTTTTCAAACGACGTTTCGTAGACGTCCGCACCTTCTGACCAAGTTGTTCAAAATTTTTTTTTTGTTTTGACAATGTCTTTTCTAATGATGTTACAAAAGTTGTAAACTTTCTTACAAGGATAAATCTTGGCACAAAGCTCTCTCAAGCTATCATTGTTAAATTTCTGTCAGCCTGTTCTCAATATAGTCCTTCCAAATGCTGGCAAACACTTTTTTCAAGCTTATCAGAGAGTTTCCAAAACCCTTTAAGCTGTAAAATGAAAGTGACATATGTAGGTTTCCCAAAGCGTTTCTCTCAATCTATTGCCTGTGGAGCTGCTGAAATGGAATTCTCAGAAACAAGCTCCCTCTGCTCCCCCCAAACCCCTTCTCTCGCCTCTTTTCCAGATATCACGTTAGAAAGGAATGTGTTTTAATTGCTTTTCCAGTTTGAAATTTGAATGAACATCACTCTAACCTAACAAGCTCCATCCCACACCATCCCCCCAGCCTCGCTTCGACCCTCTAGAAATATCGAACAACGATTTTTCCGAAGCGGTAACTTAGGATCCCAGCCGAAAGTCTGGGATAAGAGGAGCCATGGTCCCTCACCTCTGAATGATCCTCTGGCTGTGGCGAGATTGATGTCAAGCTGGGAGTAGGGGGCCGGCCACAAAATAAGGAGCCCTTCCTTCGAGATGTTTGCCCCTCCTCTTACATTGCAGAGTCCACCTCCTGCCCACCTCCTCCTCCTCGGGTTGTCTTTCAAGTGGCTCGATGGTCAGCCATCTCCCCAGCCGCTGGGTGGGTCAGAGAGAACTGAATGGAAGAGAAGGCTTGGGGGGGCCCTGTAGACTTCTCATGTTATAAGCGACGAGGATATTTATTTGACCTTATGCCTTGGCTTTCTCTCTGGCCAGGCCCAGTTCTGAGCCAGATCTGAATGGACAATCAACATCCGTTTTGGGAGCCAAGGCTGGAGGTGGCTGGCGCGGTGCCTCAGTGTTTAGTGCTGCTGCCTCATGGCGCCAGGGACCTGGGTTCGATTCCACCCTTGGGGCAACTGTGTCTGTGTGGAGTTTGCACATTTTCCCCTCGTGTCTGCGTGGGTTTCCTCCCACAGTCCAAAGATGTGCAGGTTAGGGTGGATTGGC